TGTTGTCAGTGGTTGGAAAACATTCTATAACTATTTTTATGTTAGGAGATCTACAATAAAAAAAAACAGGAAAAAGTAATACAAGATTGCTTCTAAGGTCAAGTTGCAAACAGGTGGTTGGAAGAAAAACAATTTCAGAGTTAAAAAACAAGACAAAAAAACAAAACAATATGCTGGATGTGAAAAAGCACTTCTGTGCAGAGCATAGTGTTCTTCTCTTGAATTGACTATGCAAGTTACCCAGTAAAATAAACAGATTTCTTACTCTTTTTGAAATGCACATTCTTGTTGATGCAACAAAAATCTAACCCAGATCAAATGAATATGAGCCTGTAGAGAACAAAGCTGAGGGTGTAGTGGCCTTTCACTGGTAGGTGACAGACAAACTGATTCTAGCTGAAAGTTTGAAGACGGCTACCTCTATAACTCTGCACAGAAAACACAAAACAAACACACTGCTGTTGTTCAGCTTGCCACACTGATCATCATTATCGGCAGTACGCTCCCGAGTCTTAGAGGAGTCCCTCCATCTCCCTCATAAAGGCTTCATACACCTGGTCTTTAGTCTTCATGTTGGGCTGAGACACAGCACCCATCTGTGATGGATTGGCCACGCCCATAGGAGCTGTTGCGGTGTGCTGTTTCTGCCACTGGCCTCCTCCCACACCTTCATCTCCCCTCCTTCCTCCAACAGAACCCCCTGCTTTCTCCATGGGCCCAGGTGCTGCTCCTGGCATTGTTCCAACCTTGTCCCTACGCACCCTCAGCGCTGTGGGCACAAAGCGGGTCACCTCTGCCTTGGGATTGATAATTTGAGGTTTGGCAGAGATGGTAGCCCCGCCTGCACCGGCACCTGCTGCCAGGTTGCCTCCTGCAGCTGCGACAGAGGTGATGTTTGCGCGTTTTTCGATGGTGGGAGGGTGGTGATGGCTGGGGGGATTGCTGCCCGGATTGGTGCCTGTGGAGGCAGCAGCTGTCCCAGGCGGAGGGGGCATCTGCATGACACCAGGTCGCATGGGCATGGCAGGGGGTTGCAGGTTGGTCTGTAAACCGTCCTGGCTGGATCCTGAGCCTTTTTGTCGCTGAACAATGTTTGGAGGAGCACTCAGCACATTGGAATTGAGAGGTGGAGGGAAGAGAGACAGAGGTGGTGCAAGAGGACGCGGAGGCCCTCCAGCTCTTGGGGGAGGAGGCGGGATACCTACAAGGAGAAAAAAACATAAATGAGAAATGCATTCAACAGAAGTTCTCACTATTTTATATCTTTAGATTGCCTCCACACACATGTGCCTACCTGGTGGTGCTGGGGGTGGTAATCTGGGAGGTGGACCACGTGGTGGAGGGCCTGGTGGAAGGCCAGGAGGGGGGCCTGGTGGAGGACCAGGTGGTCGACCTGGTGGAGGCCCAGGAGGCAGAAGCCGAGGCATTGGAGCCCTCATTCCTGCAGGCATGCCAGGAGGCCTCAAGAACGGAGGAGCACCTGAAGATAACAGAAGATCTCTTTGAAAAAACGATGCACAGCACTCACACTTAGAGAAGTAGAAGACCCCCACAGAACAGGAAATTATTCTAGTATGACTTCAGAGTCGAAGCAATCAATCTTTTAGCTAATCAGAATGCGAACCTGGTGGGGGGCCAGGAGGTGGGCCAGATGGTGGACCAGGAGGCCTCATTGGTGGTGCCGGAGGTGGACCAAGTGGTGGAGGTCCTGTCATCGGTGGCCCTTGCATGTGTGGAGGCCCTTGCTGTACCGTGGTCCCAGCTGGAGGGGGTAGTCGCTGATTGGCCATGAGATGGGACTGGTTGTCCCCTGGAGGGCCTCTGTCCTCGATGTCAGAGCTGTCTGATTCATCTGTGTATTCTTCTTCTACCTCTTCTTCTTCCTCCTCGTCAGGAACTGACTGACCTGAAGACAAAAAATGAACAAATAAAAATGGCATAGCATATCATCATACAAAGAAAAGACACTGTGAGGAGCACTAGCTTAGTAAGTGCTTAGCACTGACAGTACCTGCCATCCTTAACATCATGGCTTGCAGAGGTGTAATGGCCTTGGTCTTCTTCACAACCCTCTTCTTCTTCCTTTTTCCTTCACGGGGTGCCTCTGCAGGCATATCTGCGAAACGTACGCTACGACCTGCAGTAGTCAAATAATAACAAATTCAGGAATACAACAGAATACAAACAGTTATAAGATCAAGAGATAAATAAAGGCAACAAAGACGTGAGTTGAGGCTTAAATGTGTTGAAGCAGTCAGAAACACTCACCACCATGTCTTTCACTTCTGTCTCTATCTTCTTCTCGTTCTCTCTCATCGTCCTGCCTGTCCAAGCGCATTCTCTGTTCGCCATCTCCCCCTTCATCTCTCTCTTCTTCACTGATGTCTTCAGAGTCGCTGTCGTCATCAATATCGTCCTGATCTCTGTCGCTCTCACTCCCGCTGTCCCGATCTCTCCCCAAATCCATTGCAGAGTCCTTTTCAAATCCAGGAATGGAAGGCTCTGTTCAAAGGAGAAATTGTGTAACAAGAAGAAATGTTAAATTATAGGTGGAAAAAAATCATTTGATTATCAGAGGGAAACTGGCTGTATCTCACCTGCATCTGTGCCGTAACCGCGTCGAGCAGGTCCATACAGTGCCAGGACCTGAGGAGGTGGGGGGCCAGGTGGAGGCCCAGGGGGCTTCTTCCCTGGAGGTAAGCGTGGGACACCTGGCACTGTTGCCAATGCTGGTCCGGAGGACGATGGTCCTTTACTAAGACATGCATGGAAACAGAATTAACTCAACTGCCCATTAAAATTCTAAAATGTCACATACGGAGTTTAACTGCTGAAACTTTTACTACTCATAGAATGAGTCTTACCCAAAAGTGGAGCTCTTCTTCAATATGGAGGGAGGCTGAGCCCCTGGTAGTGGGATGTCCTGGATGTGGATACTGGATGGGGCATGAGGCATGTCTGGTAGAGGGATACTGTCAACCTCCACCAACTCTGCATTCTGAAAAAGAGGAAATGTCACACAACAGAGTAAACAGAGAGCGCAACAAAGGATAAATAAGGTAATGGAGCACACATCTGAAGCAATCAAGCTCAAGACAAATAAAAGACGAGTAATGGGATTTGGTGTCTGCCCCAAAATATTCATAATCCTGACTTTTAAGATTTTTTTGCAGCCCAACAAGGCGTACACAAGCCTGTAGGACAATGTGCATACAATATACCTCTCATTCCTGCATCAATTTATGCAAGAATTATTATAAACTGAGGAACCCCGCCCCCCAAAACTGTCATGTAGTTTCCAACACACCTTGACTGAGTCAAAATAAAGAGACAGCTGCCCTCTTTTAGTCTCATAGTCCAGTTCAAGTTTGCGTAGCTCTTTGTAGGTTTCAGGATTCTCTCTTTCGTACAGACGAACAATGCGCTCAAATGTCTCACGCAACTTCTTCCTCTTGTCCCGCAACACCTTCTCATTCAGCAACGGCTGCTGAACTGGGTTGAACTCTGTTCAGAAACAAAGTAATTATTTTCATTAGAAAAGCAGCAAATTAATTGTAGAATTCAGATTTTGACTGTGATTTTCTGCTGTTACCTAAAGGCCTGAAATACTTAAATACACACACTAATTATATATAGCATTAATCTACTGATACATGTGTTCCACAAGCTCAGGTCCTCTACAAGTGGCAAACATACAACTAAATAGTTACAACTAAATATATCTCTAACATCTAAATTGCATAAACTCTGCCCTGTCAACTCACCCATCTCATCCAGCTTCTCCATGTCTCTGATGATCTGTCTGGGATCCTTCATCTTCAGGACTGCTGCTCTCACCATCATCCTCTGCTTCTTGTTCTAATATTTCCAAATGAAAACGATGTTACCATCATATTATCACAGTATTGTTATCCTGTATTGCATATTTAGAAATATCTTTTTTTTTTAAGTGAATGGTTCTAACCTTTTTTAACTCCCTTTTTCTGGCCTCCTTTCCTGTAGAAGGGGGGGAAGAAATGACCATTTTTATATCTAATCAGCAACTGAGCAATATCCAGCAGATCAATTCATGATTGAATTAGCGCCAGTTTGTTATCAGCACTTACTGGCCTGGTCGGTGGGATTCATAAACTTCCCACTCTTGGTGGAGGAGGTTGAACGTCGCCCCATTGTGACGGTAGGTCTCATGTAATACAGCAAAACAGAAGAGAAGTAAATTGTGAAGGAAACCTTACGTTGTTATTTTGTGGTAGGTTCAAGAATAAGTCGGATTTTGTCACAACCTAAAATAACACTTTTAGCTCATATTTATGAATCACTGAGACTTTAAACAATGTTTGAATTCATTTTTGACAAATTGCAGCCTCCTTTTTGTTAATTCTAACTTCGATATCAAGGTAGTTTAACCAAACTATCTACAATACACGCCTTAAAGAATTTTACTGTTAGCTATTATTAGCAAAGAAGATAAGAAAGTTGACAATCAACGCACGAGTCAAACTATCTAAGCTCTCTTTGCACAATTAAACTATTGAATGAGCTGATAAACACCACAGAGCCAATCAAACATTTGTAACACATACATATGTTAAATCATGCCGGTCAAAAGCATTTGCCTGGTAGGTTAGCGGCTAACGTTAGCTTGCACTTATAGCTAGGCCCGCGTTAGCAACGAAAGCAGCACAGGAGGGAAAAATTCACTGTACCTTTTGTTCAGTAAAAACTCACAGGGCACAACGCCCTACACACACGCACACCTCCGTGTGCCAAAAGCAATGCAACACGTTTTGCGTACGTCCTGAAAGAGAACTCCAAACCCCCCAGGATTGAATATCACACCGTGGCTTCGCTAACTGTCCGCCATGTTTACTGCCGCGAATGAAAGCGGAAAGGCGATTTTGACGTCATCAAAACAAGCGAGCAGTGAAAGAAAAATAAAACTAACTGGGCGAACGGTATTATTTAAAACTTCACTTCATAGCATGTGTACATATACTAGGACTTTATCATATTCATATTGTGTGGCGCAATGTAACTCTAATGATAATGAAGGGTGATTCTCGTTACAGGTTCCAAGACTGCAATCTAGCGATACTGCCCCCTGATGGTTACAAGCAGCAATTACAACCTCGCTGCACTGATGTGCCAAAACGTGATCGTATGCCAATCACTTTTTGCGTGTTTTTTTTATGTCTAGATCTCTTTTTATGTTTTTATATAGTTGCCTATATTGTTAAATAGGCTGCAGTAAACAGAGTTTAAAAATGGGTTATATGTTATATGTTTTGTAGCAGTGCTCCGGCTGCTCTACATTCACCTCTCCTTTGCTCTTTTGCTGGGTGGATGTTGAGGATTTGGCTAACAGGAAATGTCAAAATGTGGGATTTTGACTTTTTGCCCATACACAAAGTCAGTTTCTTCAAGTCCGTCCTCGTTTGTTGATGTTTCCACCATAGGACGATTCAGTCTCTCCCACAGGTTTTGTTTAAGGCTTCTGCCTAGCTCTAGACTGTAGGGACGTTTGCGGCCATGCTTGGACCTGCAAGAAGAAATTCAATCAAAATGATGCATGTGGTCAAAAACCATACTGTAACCATTTTAGAGCTGGCGATTTTAAAAAGTGACAGGACATTTGGAGACAAACGTACGTCAGCCTGCTATCCACCACCTCATGGTAGACTCGCTGGTAATCTTCCACTGAGAGGTTGTGGATTTGTCTGTCACTGGAGCTGGTTGGCTGGTGGTTGGTACTGCATGGCTCGGGTCTGGGGGGCAATTTTTTTGCCACTGGCAGGTCATCATGTGCGATTGCAGAGGGAGGCACTGAGGTCTTTGGAGGTCGGGATAACCTGGATGCTGGGCTTCGCTTCCTTTTCCGGGGCTGACTGAATGGTCTGTCACGGCGCTGGGGCCTCTGGGTTGAATTAACAACCTGGGGAAAGGTCAGAAGCACACAAGGGAATGTCAGTAGTTAATAGCGACCTCATCTTTTTCAAACAAGACAAAAATATGAATTTGATGAACCACAATGAAGTCCAAACTCCAAAACCCTCAAATGATTCTGTTCCTGAAATTTTACACATCCAACCTGGTCCTTGCTGCAGCACGGTTGTTTCCTGCTGGC